CCGCTGGGTCTGCTGAGTTGACACTTCCTTACTGATACCAAAGTGAGAGACACACTAGCTGGACAAAGTAGTGCACACCTTTCATCCCAGCACTCGGGGGCAGGGACACGTGGATCTCTGTGAGTTCAAGGTCAGCCTGGTCTACAGAGTGAATTCTAGGAAAGCCAGAGAAGCATAGTGAGACCCTGTTTTGAAAAAACAAACAAACAAACAAAAGAACCCCGGAAAGTTAGGGAATACCTAGGATGAGCAGATGAAGCACAAAAAAAAAGGTACCATTTGACTCTTTGTCCCCCGCCCTACCTACACACGGCAGGCCTAGATGTCCTGTCTCTAAACAGCGGTAACCCTACCATTACAGGTTTCTGGCTTTCGTGAATTTTAGCATCCTATGTATCTCCCACAGACATTCTAGAGTACAATGATTTTGTCCTGTATGTTCTAGCATTTGGAGGCTACAGTATTATTGTAGGTGGGATCCCTATTCAAATAGCAAGGAGAAAGACGGGATCATGTGACATGAGCCCAAATAACAGCAACAAATATTATTTCAACCATGTCTTTACTCAACAAGTTTTTTTTGTTTCTTTTTTGTTTGCAAGAACACAGTTTTTAAAAGTTTATATTCACATATAGATGCAACTTTTTACATAAGCATGTGAATGGTTATGTGCATGTAAACGAACTGCCAGTAGAGGGCAGCAGAGCCCTTGGAGCTGGAGTTACAGGTGGTTGTGAGCAGTCCTGCAGAGGTGCTGGGAACTTAATTCTGGTCCTTTCCCAGAGCATGATGCTCTTAACCACTAAGCCACCTTTCCAGTCCCAAGGATCCGTGCCCCCCACCCCGTGTTTTGTTTGTTTGATTCCCAGGTGTTGGTGGCACACACCTTTAACCACCAGCACCCTCCAGAAGCGGAGGCAGGCAGGACAGCCTGATCGATACGGTAAAATGAGATTCTAGCCAGTCATAACTGTGCATCGAGACCATGTCTTAAAAAGAAAAAAAATTTTTTTAAATTTATGGAGCCGGAGACAAGACTCAGCAGTTAAGGAAGGGCACTTGTTGCTCTTACAGAGGACCCAGTTTGATTCCCATGACCCAGAAAGTGGTTCACAACCTTTTATAACTCCAGTTCCAAGGGATCCAATACCCTCTTCTGGCCTCCTCAGTTACCAAGCAGTCTGTGTGGTGCAGGCAAAACACTCATACACATAAAATAAAAATAAATAAATTTCCAAAAACAGACTTGTATTTTCATTTCTCTCTCCGTGTGTGTGTGTGTGTGTGAGAGAGAGAGAGAGAGAGAGAGAGAGAGAGAGAGAGAGAGAGAGAGAGAGAGAGAGAGAGAGAGAGAGATGCCTAGCATGGGTACCAGGAGCTGAGTTCATGTGTCTGGAAGAGGAGTAAGTACTCTTGACTGCTAAGCCATCTCTCCATCCCTGTAAGAGCACTTTTTTTTGAGACAGGGTTTCCCTGTGTAACAGTCCTGGCTGCCCTTTGACCTCAGAATCAGAGCTGTGAAAGAAATATGCCCTGGCCCTGGATGAAAAAGGTCCAGTGAAAATCACACACTTTGAACCTGAAACCAGAGCCAACTCAACAGAAGACTAACCAATCCCTGAGCATGAGAACTAGCCAATCTGAACTCAAGGAGCTGAAATCTCACCAATCCCCACCCTGGAAATCTCCCTGGGAAACACTCCCCCCCTAAGACCTATATGAGCCGTGTGCGTGTTCAGTTGAGGCTGCCCTCTTCCACCCTGGCAGACAGTCTCTCTCCTGGATTCTTCCCTCCCAGGGACTCTCTTGAATGGGGGTTGGGTGAGACCTTTTGCTGCAGCAGAGATGACCCTGGGTGGAGTGAGTGGAACAGGAGAGCAGGGCTGTGAGCTGCTAGGCTTACTATGACCTGTGGTATTCTCTGGCTCCCCATTGCCAGAATACTTTTCCGTCTGAGCTGTAGCACTTACAATCTACCCTACACATAAAGTTAAAACAGTAAATAAAATATGTGTCTTATATAGACACACAGGTAAAAATAACAGCAGATTCGCACCCCCACCCCCACCCTTGGTGCCCTGTGAAAGGGTTTCACTATGTAGCCCTGGCTGGCCTGGAACTTACAGAGATCTATGCAACAGGCTTTCTTTTGGGCCACCAACCAGCTCCCAAATCATGACACCGAGACTTATTTTCAGTTATGAAGGCTCAGCCTTATCTTACGCTTGTCCCACTAGCTCTTAAAACTTAAATTAACCTGTTTCTCTTCTTCTGTGCTTTTCCTCAAGACCTTTACCTTTCTTATTCCGTGTGTTCTGCTTTCACTGCTGGGTCTGGGTCTGACTGGCTGGCTGGCTGGTGGCTGGCTCCTGTCTCTGGCCGTCTCCTCTTTCTCCCTCCTTCTCACCTCCCTTCTTCCCCAAGCCTAGATTTCTCCTTGTCCTACTTACGCTGTCTGCCCGCCAGCCATGCCTGTCCCTCTACTGCCTGGCTATGGGCCGTTCAGCTTTTTATTAGAACAATCAGACGCCCGAGGCAGGCAAGGTGAAACAGCAAACCAACTTTACATAATTAAACAAATGCAGCACAAGGAGTGTAAAACACCTTTACATAGCTAAAGTAATATTCCACAGCAGATCTGCCTGCCTCTGCCTGCAACAGAGAAAAACAGCAGAGCAACTTTTTTTTGTTTTTTTGTTTGTTTTTGGTTTTTGAGACAGAGTTTCTCTGTGTAACCGCCCTGGATGTCCTGGAACTAACTCTGTAGACCAGGCTGGCCTCAAACTCACAGAGATCCGCCTGCCTCTGCCTCTCAAGTGCTGGGATTAAAGGCGTGCGCCACCAGCACAACATCTTTTTTTTTCTTTAAGATTTTTTTGGATTAATTTTTATGTATGAATGTTTTGTCTTCATGTGTGTGTATGCACCACATGCATGCTTGGTGCCCTCAGAAGTCAGAAGAGGGCATCAGATCCCCTGGAACTGGAATTTCAGATGGTTGTGAGCTGTCATGTGGGTGCTGGGAATTGAACCTGAGTTCTCTGGAAGAACAGCCGGTGCTCTCCAGCCCCATCAGCAACATCTTTTAATGAACTGAAAGAAAAGGAAAAAAAGCTGCCAATCTATAGTTATTTTTCAAAACTGAAGATAAACTAAAGATGTATCCAGACAGAAAAGATAAAAGAATTGGTCTGTACAAGAAATGACTAGGGTTTCGGGGTCAGGGTGCATTTCTTTGGCTCTGGTTGCAGGGCCAAAGTGTGTTTCTTTGGCTCTGGTCAGGGTGTGTTTCTTTGTCTGCCCCTTTTCCCTACTGAGATCCCCACCATGTAAGTCTGTGCACTTGGTACACGCATGTCTGATGCCCTCAGACGCCAGGAAGAGGGGGTTGGATCCCCTGGAGCTACAGTTACAGACTGTTGTGAGTACTGGGAATTGAAGAGTTCTTTGCAAATGCAAGAGCAACAGATGCTCTTAACTGCTTAGCTCACATACCAAATCTTTAAAAATTATTTTAAAATCTGTCTATCTGTCTGTCTGTCATCTATTCACTGAACTTTATACCTTTTACTTCCCTCCTGGAACCAGAGGTGCAGACAGTTGTTACCTGCCAGGGGTGCAGAGCAGAATGGAGTCATCTCTCCAGCCCCTGCACCATAAATAAGCTTTTGTGCTTCTGCGTGCCTGTGTATAGATGCGGACATACACAGCGCATGTGTGGCATTTGGAGGACATCCTGCAGGAACTGGTTCTCTCCTTCTACCATGAAGGTTCCAGAGATCAAAGTCGAGTTGTCAAGCTTGGTGGTGAGCGCGTTTGCCTGCTGAGTCATCTTACTGTCCCCCTGCCCATCTCCCGTCTCCTTAGCTGCTTCTCTCAGCCTAGAGCAGTTTCATTGCACAAACACATCCTCCACAGCCCTTCACTGTCCAGTGTCCTAGAAACCATCATCTCAAATGTCCTGCCTGCTTCGTGTGTCTGTCTCTAGCAGGAGAATAACTCCCGCCTCTGTCACTCCATTGTGGGTGGAAGCAGATGTCTGAAGGTGACATTTGATCACCAAGCCGGAAAGAGGTGACAACATGACCCAGAGTGTGGGAGCATCAGTGTCTCAGGGGATAATACTGCAGTAGCCTTGTGTGTGAGCAAAAAGAAAACAGGATGACTGGAGCAAGGGATTATGGGGGAAAAGTGGGGAGACGATAATAGACATGACAGCTCTCAGAGGCCCTTGCAGGCCGTGGTTAGGATTTGATTGCTTCGCTGAATGATAAGGAAGGCGTGAGGCTCTGGGCAGAGAAGGGGCATCTTGTGACAGTCAGGATCAGGGTTTCCTGACCGGCTGAAGTGGATGTTGCAAGAAGGGTAGTAGAGACCCTGCTGGACCCGCAGTGGTACCGAGACATAGATCCTGTCCAGGGCTCCATGGCAGGGAGGCAGCTGGGGAGGCCCGTGGGTACTGTCAGCATCCTGTGTCTTGGTCTGGTGGATTCACAGCTCCACCCACTCCAGGAAGACCCTCTGGGCTGTGTGTTCAATGCCAGAATTGCGTTATCTTCTACATGTGTGCAATCTTCAATCAAAGAATAGAAGGCTGGGAAATGACTGAGTGGGTAAGAATGCTTGTTGTGCAAGTGTGAACATCTGAGTTAGTCTCCAGCACCCAAGGAAAAAGCTGGCCAAGGACTCGGGAGTGCCTGTAACCTCAGCCCCGGGAGACCGAGAACAGATGGATCCCAAGCTCACAGAGAATATGGTACATCGTGATAGAGGAAGATGGCGGGCATTCTCTGACTTCTGCGTAGTGTGTGTTGGTGTGCACACTTACATTCATGTTCCACACTTGTACCCTACACACACATATACATCCAAAATAAAATAAAACAGGGCTGGAGTGTAGTTCAATGGTAGAACGTTTGCCTAGTATGTGTGCAAGGCCGTGATTTTCAACCGCCCACCAACACTAAAACACAAAAATAGTAGAATGGAGATATGGCAATAACTTGAAGCAGGCCATTTTATGATGCAATATGCATTTGGTCCAACTTCAAAGATCTCCATAGTCTTCAGCAGACTCAACACTGTCCAAAGTCTTAAGTCTCTTCTGAGACTCAGGACAATCTCTTAACTGTGAGGTCCTGTAAAATTAAAAAAAAAAACCAAGTTATATATTTCTAATATATAATGACAGACAGTAAATAATCTCATTCAAAAAGGGAGGAAAGGGGACATAGCAAGGGGCGATTAGACCAAAGCAAGACTGGCACCCAGCAGGGTAAACACCAACCCTGCAGCTCCATACCCAGTGTCTTGGGCTTGTGCTGGACTCCTCTGGTCTCCAGCTGCCTTGGATGGCATTGCCTCTCCAGCCCTGCCACCTACAGCAAGTACACGTGGCCTCTCTCTTGGTCTGCCTGCACTCTGGGCCTTCAGCTTTCTTTGGCTGATGCTGCACTATTCTGGCATCTCCAGTATCCTGAAGTCTCCACTGCAAGCTGAGGTCTACTTTTCCAGCTCTACGCCAGCATCCTTACAGGATCTCCTTGCAGGTGTTCCAACCTTATCACATGTTGCTTCCCCTCAGAGGCTCTTTAGAAGCTTGGTGTAAGCCTCTATGACCCCCCACTCTCGTATTTTTTATGCCTGCAAAATATCCTGTGGGTGATGCTCCTAAATTCTGACGTTAGTTCTTGGACCATAGTCACAGTAGCCTTTCTATGTCTTCAAGGAGTTCTCTGGGTATCGATTTTGCATCAGAGGATCACTGTGGCGGCATTCTGAGTTTAGGCTCTCTCCTTTTGAATGCCTTTTTATCTTCACAACTTAGCATTTTTTTCTTTTTTGGGTTTTGAGACAGGGTTTCTCTATGTAGCTTTGTAGACTAGGCTGGCCTCGAACTCACAGAGATCTGCCTGCCTCTGCCTTCCAAGTGCTGGGATTAAAGACGTATGCCACCAATGCCCAGCACAAGTTAGTATTTTTGATGAGTGGGGTCTCGTCTTCAGGGAACCTTTTTGTTATTGTCCTAGTGCAGAACACAAGGCTTCTCTTTCAGGGTGGGAATCTCTTAAACAATTACAGTAGCCTTCACATCTGCCTGATCTGCAACTTTAAATTTACACTTTCCTTTCCATGACAATCTGCACATTTAAAAATTATTCTTTATCTCTGCTTGCTATTCTCTCTTACTGCATACCTGGATAAGAGCAGTTAGCAGTAACCAAGACACAAACCTGAATGCTGTTCTGTTTTGAAATTTCTTCTGTCAAACAAATTAGCATTTGAATTTAGTGTCACTCAAGTTCTCAGGACATGGGGAAAATGTAGGAAATTCTTTGTCAGTGTATAGCATGAATAGCCTCTAGTCCATTTCCCAATAGAGTCCCTGTATTCCCCTGAAGTTTTGTGAGCCAGACCTCCACTGTCAATGTTTTATTCAGCATCTGGTCTTTTAAAATCCCACCAGAATTACCCACTAAGCTCTTCTTATAGCATTCCAGGGGTTCTCTACCTCAGCTTCAAACTCTTCCTTATTCCTTCCACAAATCAATACCAAAGGTCTAAGAACATGGTCAGGTTTATCATAGTAACAACCCCACTCCTGGAACCAGTTTTCTGATACGTTATGTTTTGTGTTGCTGCAGTCAGCTACTTGACAGCAAGCAACTTAACGAAGGATGAGCTTAATTTGGTTTGTACTTAGAGGTTATATTTAGCTTGAAGAGAAAGCATAACATCAGGTGGCTTATTGTGGAGCTGGGACTCCTTAGTTCCTTTACTCTTGGTGTAACAAACAGGAACACACAGGAATTAGGACTGGGCTTTAAAAATCTCAAGGCCTATGTCCAGTGATTCACATTCTCCAGTGAGGCTCCTCTTCCTAAAGTTTCCACAATCTTCCAAAATAGCACCACCAGCCACAATGCCTTTGAGGGGCATTTCATATTCAGACCACAACAGACGTGAAGTGTTCCCGCAAAGGCACATGTGTTGAAGGGCTCCTCCTCACTTCTCAACGAGTGGATTGTGAGGGCTCTGACTTAGTGGATTGATTGCCCAATGGATCCATAACTCAATGATATTATTGTAAAGTGGTGGAAACTAAGTGGTAGAGCTTGGTTAGAGGAAGCAGGAATTGGGAATGTGACCTGGAATAGGGTACATTAAACTTGGAATACTCTTCTGTTTTTCTTTGCTTCCTGGCTTTTCTGAGGGGAAGCCCTCTTATATCACATACCTCTGCCCTCTCTGTTGTGATATTTTGCCATCTTAACTCAGGTCCAGAGCAATGGAACCAGCAGGACTGGGACCAAACCTGAAACTACAAGCCAAACAAAACAAAACAAAAAAACTCCCTTATTTCTTCAAGTTGTGTATGTTGGGTGTTTTGCTACAGCAAATGAAGGCTAACACAGCTCCTTTATATCTGAGGAATCTAAAGTGTGCACAGCGAGGTGGAGCCTCTGAGATTTGAACTCTGCTCTTATTCCTTCTCTATTTTCACAGTGCTGTCCCTTGATTATTTCCAGGAGGATATGACGGCTGAGACATGGGTCTGGAAGGGGGCCCAGGGAGGTACTCAGCCATGCCTCAGTGTCTTTCTGTGCCTGGAAGGGGATCCTGTGTTCGAGGTGAAAATGCTCGTCACTGATTCATTTGAAATTAGCCTGGGCACTATTATGAGTCAGGCCCTAGTCAGGGCACTGTGGTGCAAGAGGAGGCAGACCAGGGGCTGCTCTGAGCAGCCACAGCGATGCAATGGGTGAGTGAATGAGGCCGTGTCAGGGCACTTGGGGAGGTTTCCTAAAGAGGGCGGCTTGAGAGGAGAGCTGGGAAAGCTGTTCCAGGATGAGGAGAGGAGAGACACAGACATGGGACAGCTCCCTCTGATTCAGGGTCCCGAGAAAAGACGCCAGACTGGAACACTGAGATAGTCTGGGGAAGGTGTGGTCAGAAACAACAAATATGACAGATCATGTTCTGGATTCAACGCTTGCTCCCATTTTTCTGTTATTGGTAGAGTTATGCTTTGCAGGAGACATAGTCTGCAGGGCTTTGAAGGAATACTCCAGGTTTTCCTCTCACCATTCTAATGCCCTGTGACCCCCACCCCGTACTCTCTGATAGGCCCAATTGCCCTTGGATGACTCTCAGTGCCTTCAGATAACTCCCAGTGTTCTCAGATGGTCCCTACTACCTCCTGATGACCCCTCGTACCGTTGGATAACCCCCAGGGACCTCAGATAACCCCCAGTGTCTCAACTAGCTACCCTGTGCTCTTGGATAGCCTTCAATGTCCACAGATTTCCTCGGTATCCTCAGATGCCCCCCATTGATCTCAAATAATCCTTAGCTCTCTCAGAAACCCATGATGCACCCATACATCCCCCAGAGCCCTATATAACCCACGAAATGCCCACATGTAGTCCCATTAACTGTCTTCTCCCTATATCCATGTCCTTTTTGAGTTCCAAAAAAGTTGGTCCTATAACCAGTGGGGTTTTATGGGGATGAGAGAGTCTTGCTTCTAAGGCATCGTGGTTTCTTCCTCAGTCTCTGTATTTGGTGGCTTCAGGATGGCCAGCCTAGGCTGTGAAGTCACTCAGGAACTGAGAGCTCACTGTCAGCCAGTACAGACCTGCAAGTCATAGAAATGAGCCACCTTGCAAGTGGGTCCTCCAGCCTGTGCGCCCCAGAACCACATGGCCATGCCCATTTGGATTCCTCCCAGAGGCATCAGGAGATGCATTCGATTATGCTTGTTGGCATAACTTACTACATTTTGAGGTGACTTGTGCTGCTGTGTCAGGTCTCAGGGGCATCTCCAGGTCTTTTCTTGGCCTCTTCTGTTGCTCCTGTTCCATCCAATGAGAGTCTGCTGCAAACCACAGGCCCTCCTAAGAAGTTCAGGTATATAAGGAAGCAAATCAGGCTGTGGTTTCAAAGGAATCCCATACCATCTGAAACTGACCCTCCAGATCCCAGTTCCTATTGGGGTCCCCATGGACACTGAACCTCACTGAGGAGTGGCAGCTGCTTCTGCAGAGAGCACACAGTAGAAGCTTCTGCAGGGCTTAGCTTAGCCTGAGCTGGTTACACATGGCCTTGGTTCCCTTCTTTCTTTTCTGTGCCCTTTGAAGACTGTCCTGCACAGAAAGCCAGCAGGTGGTTAGGCTGTAGCAGGTGTGTGTGTGTGTGCGTGTGCGTGCGTGCGTGCGTGTGTGTGTGTGTGTGTGTGTGTGTGTGTGTGTGTGTGTGTATGTGTGTGTTGCCATAAGAGGAACAGCCTGGAAGTTCCAGTTTTGATGGGCACAGGCGACTTACCCAGCCAGGCTGCCCCAGTGGCATAGCTGTTTTTTGGCATTGCCTCTACCTCTAGGTCAGAGTGTTAGCAGTACTCTAGGTCAGAGTGTTAGCAGTACTCTAGGTCAGAGTGTTAGCAGTACTCTAGGTCAGAGTGTTAGCAGTACTTGGGTTAAAGAGGCAGCTCCTGAGCAGACTCTAGGCTCAAGCCCTACATCCAGGGTTCACAGGGGACTGAATTCATTCTTTGACTTGGGCTTCTGCTTTGGAGACAGTAATTTCCCTGCAAGGCCGTGGTTGGCATGTGAGTAGGCCTCCAGGAGGGCAACATAGCCCCCTGGCACAGCACCCCCCTAGTCCCTCACTCTGGACCTCTTTTTGCTGGCTGGGACAGCTGCTGGACTACCATACCCACTTGTGGAATCCCTGTGTCAGCATCTTCCTGTGTGATGCTCAACACCAGCCAGGTGAGGAGAAGGTGGAGGGCGGGGCAGAGGGTGGCCCTGCCCCTTCACCAAGGATGGGTTCCCTGGCCTCTCCTTGCCTCCTCCCTCCTCCCTAAGTCCCTGCTTCTGCCCTCTGCATCTCCTCTCTTCCCCACCATCGCTTGGGCTCTCTTTGTCTTCCTCCTTTTCCTCACCCTCCCCTTCTCCTTCTTGTGCCTCCCTCTTCTCCTCTGTCACAATTAGGAAGACCCTAGACCCCGGTGTCCCGGCTATAGTTCCGATCCCAGCTCCGTCACAGACTTTGTGACTCTTGGCAAGGTATCTCATTTCAGACGCTGTCAGTTTCCTTGCGACCCCGCCCGCGTGGTCCCTGTTCTCCTTGCCTTCTCATAGTCCACACCCGTCTCTGTCTTTTTCTCCAAGCCCCCACCCCCACCACTCCCTCTAAGTGCCCTGGGCCTGTGTATTGACCCCGATGCGTGGGCTGCTCCATCGTCTCACAAGGACAAACAGGTGGCCGGAACACCTCCCTGGCAACACTCATAAGTTGTGAGCTGCCCAGTGCCCTCAGTGATAGTGTCTCTTGGCTCCTTCGGCAGAAGCTTTTTTCTTCTTCTTATCCACCTGTGGGACCTGACCTGAAGAGTATTTCCTGTCTCCTGACTGAAACTTCAGCCACCCAGTTCCCCTCAACTCCCACATGGGACAGGCTGAGGATCAATGTGCTCTGCACTCAGGAACCGGGGATCCTATTGTATTTCAGGGTACAGACCAGCATTCAGAGCCATGCAACCATGTGGGCAATTGTCTGAGGTTGGATGAATACGGTATGGGATAGCTCAGCTAGTGTCTCAGTCGTCTCCACATTCTGGAAGAGCATGGTCCCCATTTTTCCGATGAGGATCCATAGGTCTATAGAAGACAAGGCACACAGGCTGAGTCATACAGACTGTAGTTACTCCAAAGTCGGGCTTTGAGTCTTCCTCTACCTCTGACGTGCACGGTAGGGAAGGGCCTGGAGGTGGGTATAGGACACCAGGGGCTGAATCAACCCCTCCACCTGCTTCTGCTGACAAGGCTAGATCAGGCACCCTAGGGGCTGGTTTCTTCTTTTCCTGAAAACTAGACTTGGCAAGGACAGCATCCCCATAAAGTCACATGCCACACCCGATGAAGTACATATCTGGTTTTCTTTTCCTGTTGGTACACTCTGAGTGGCCATCATGCTTATTGAGTTGTTCCAGCACAAACGATTCTGACTTTTGCTGGTCTTAGTTAAGACTATGATTGCTGTGATGAAACACCATGGCCAAAGCCACTTGGAAGGAAAGGGTTTATTTGGCTTATGCATCCCCAGTCACAATCCATTGCAGGAAGTCAGGGCAGGAACTCAAGCAGCAGGAACTGGGAGGCAGGAGCTGATACAGAGGTCACAGAGGAGTGCTGCTTACTGGCTTGTTCAGCCTGCTTTCTTATAGAACCCAGGACCACTAGCTGGCTGCTCCCCTTCCAATCACTAATTAAGAAAATGGACTACCTTATGGAGGCATTTTGTTTTCAATTGAGGTCTCCTCTCAGATGAGTCTAGCTTCTGTTATGTTGGCATAAAACTAGACAGCACAACCAACACACATACAACTCATCCTTGAAGTTCCCAGAAGTTCAGCTGTGCTTCCTGAGCTCACTTGACCAATGAGGGAGACAAGAATAATCCAGAGAGGGGAGGCTGGGGCCCTGGCAGTTCACAGCCCAGTACTGATAGGTATGCTTGGTGTTTTCACAGCCTCCTCATGGGAACCATGGAGGTTGCTTGTTGGAGGTCTACCATCTGGTGACGGAGCTGGAGTGTGAATTTCATACACATCTATAATACAGTGAGTCGGCGTTTTGTTTCGTTTTGGTGTTGGGAATGGAACCCAGGGCCTCGTGGTTTCTAAGCATAGCTCTGCCACCGAGCCACACCCCCAGCTCTCAGTTTCATGAAACTCCTTACAGAGGGGATGGACAGACAGACAGAGCTGAGATTATGGCAGCCGTGGGTTCAGAAGCAGCAAGGACCATCGAGGGAGGAGAATCCTAAACTGCACTGTTCTTCCAGGAAGGACATAGCAAAACTCACAAGTTGGTGGAGGACGTCCCCAGAGGCTCAGCAGACACAGTGACTTGGCATGGTACTGTAAGGACACACCGGGGCTCTGTCTTTTTAAAACTTCCTGGCTGTCACTATCCCGCTTCCCTCTGAGGAAAGACAGCTCATGAACCTCACAGGCCCTCTATCAGCTCCGCTGAGGGGACAGGGCTGGCCAACATGTGACCACAGACAAGGCAGGGTAGCAGGTACCCAGGATGAACGATCGCTGGGCTGGACTGCAGGCCCTGGGCCAGACAACTGGCCGGCTAGCAGAGGTGACCTGGCTTGTTTGGCTCACCCAGCCGTGAGGTATTCCCCGTGTCCTTGTCAGCTGAGGGCAGCGCTGGATTCCTGTTCCATGAGCACTCTCGGACCCTTTCTCCAGGGCCTGCAGCGCCGACCGAGATGAAAGCATTCCATGAAAAATCAGGCCTGCCCGCTGGTCTCGCGGTTTCCAGTGCCACCATTTGCCTGAAGTTTTGTGGACTCGTAGACTTGGAGCGGCCCGCCTCCCCTGTTCCCCGCAGCTGACGGCGCGGCAGATGGGCCGGCGCGGGTCCCGGGTCCCGTCCAGGTGGCTCGGGCGACTCTCGGCCAGCTGCGGGGACAGGGCGGGTGGGGACCGCACTTTCCATGACAAAGCCGCCGCAGTGCCTACAAAGGCGCCGCCATCAACGTTTTATTGGTTCCAGTTAATTATTTGCGGCGGGAGGGGCGCGCGGTTCCAGGACACTAGGCTGTGGGAGGGATCTACTCAGTCCTGCACAATTTGACTCCGCCTCGGCCTCGCCCCACCCAGGCCCCGCCCACCTAGCTCAGCTGCGGAGCTCTAGCGCCCTCTAGCTGGGATTATGCTCCACTCATTCCGTCACGCAACCACCTGCAGGGCTAACAGAAAAGCAGGTGGTGGGTGTGTGTGTGTGTGTGTGTGTGTGTGTGTGTGTGTGTGTGTGTGTGTGTGTGTGTGTGTGTGTGTGTGTGTGTGTGTGTGTGTGTGTGTGTGTGTGTGTGTTGGGGGTAACAAACTGAGACTCCACAAATGGACCACATTTGTCCCGCCCGTTGGCTCCCATATGCACCATGAAAGGCTCTGAGCCCAGAGCTCCAAAAGATTTATAAACCGACACTCTGCAGCCAGGTGGATGCCAGAGAAAGCTAGCAGTGGGACCCAGGGGCCCAGAACAGGCTCCCAGGAAGGAAGGGGCGACGAAGGGCTCCCAAAAGGAGGCTCAGTCTGAGACAAGACCTGGTGGAGGAGCAAAAGCATGAGGGCTTGCAGGAAGAAGTCTCAGCAGGAGAGCAAACAGATTGAAGCCTGAGCAAGACGCCCTCTGGAGAGTCCAGCTTGTCGGGGAGGGGTTGGTATTTACTTCGGAAAGAGGTAGCGAGGATCCATGAAATGGGTGAGGCTGTCTGCAAATGTGTGCACTGCGGTAAGAGAGGAAGGCCTGTCAAGTCAGGTTAAACAAAGTGGAGACACCTGTCTTTCATGTAAGTAGAGACGAGAGGCAGGCACTCTAAGCTTGGCACAGTTTAGGGGACTGGACTCCTGTCTTACTACTCCACTGCTCTCAGTGCATGGCCACAAACGACTGTGTGAATAGCAGCCATCACATCTGTATCCTTAGGTAGAACCAGATATCAGAAAAGAGCAAGGAGCCAAGCTTGGTGGCCCAGACCTGTAACCCTAGCTGCTTGGAAGGCTAAATAAAGCAGGAGGATCAAGGCCAACTTAGTAAAACCCAGAGAATGTCTTCCCACATGAAATACTAATTATGAGAGAAAAGCCAGGAATGTGCATTTGGTATCACCCTGTCCTTACTTTAAAAATCCCCACCCTTTGGCCTGCAGATAGTAGCTCATCCCATAGCAGTTGTTGTGCAAGCATGAAGGCCAGAGTTTGAGCTCAGCACCCATGTAACAAAACAGCCATGGTCTTGCACAGGTCTGTAAAGCCAGCATTGGGCAGTTCAGTTCAGAGTATCACTGGGGATTGCTGGCTTCCAGCCTAGCCAAAAAACCCAAGCTCCAGGTTCATTGAGAGGCCCTGCCTTGAAGGAGTAAGGTAGAGACAGCAAGTGAAGACTCAACCTTCCTCTGGCCTCGACATCGTCAGTGGTGTGTGTGTGTGTGTGTGTGTGTGTGTGTGTGTGTGTGTGTGTGTGAATCTGTGTGTGCATGGATACATGTGTGTAGAGGCCAGAGGTCAACATTGACCATCTTCTATTGCTTTCCACAGCATTTTTGAGACAAGGTCTCTCGCTGAACTTGGAGCTCACCAACCGGCTAGGCTAGCTGGCCGGTGAGCCTCACCCCCATTCCCAATGCTAGGGGTACAGACGCACACACCATCACGCCCAACTTTTATGTGCATGTTAGAGATTCAAACTCAGGTCCTCATGCTTGTGAGGCAGGCGCTTTACCCAAGAGCTAGGATGACAACCCCAAATACGGTGTTTTGTTTTGTTTTGTTTTGTGGTGGCCATAGACAGAATCCATCTCCTGATAAGGAGAGAGGCTCACATCCTGCCCCTGCCCTCCTAGTGTGCAGTCTTATTTGGAAATGGAGTCTAGGCAGAAGCAGTCAAGTGATGATGTGCTCCCACTAAGCAAAGTAGCCTCATCCAAAGACTGACGTATTATAAGAGTGGCATTTACACAGCCACAGCAACATCGGGAGGCAAAGATGTAAATACTGTGTCTGCAAGCCAAGGAAGGCTGAGGTTAGCCCAGAGGCTGAGGCTAGCCTGCAGCCCTTACTGCCAGGAATAAACCGGGGGGCTTTACCAGACAGGAGCTTTCAGTGATGCCCTTAAGGTTAAGAAGAGCCTCAGCCTCTGCATTCAGGAAGATGAATCTTTTTGTAGACTGAGGCCTAGCTTAGGGTGATCTGTTCAGTGCCCTAGGAAGTCAACCCCACATAGCCAGGTTAATCCTTAGGGTCTGGCCAGGTGAGTCGCTTTTCACACATCAGTACATCCCAGGTGACTGCCTTCCTGCTTCCAGGAACATCGGGAGGCTCTAAAGCAGGATTCAGGAGAGGCCAGTCACAGAACGGTGGCAAGTAGCTGCTGTGGGCACACCCATTTGCCATTGCCAGGCCTTCCCGTGGCCACTGGCAGAGGAAGCATGGCTCATCGAGGATATGATGGTCATACTGTAAGCAGGGCAAGCACTGATACTGTCACTTACACGTAGCCACTCAGGGACAGACCCACAGGGGACAGGGTACGATATAGCTAAGTTAGCAGAGTGCTTGCCTAGCATTCATGAAAACCTGCATTTAATTCCCAGCACAGAACCATGTAAAAACCTCAACAGGAGCTAGGAAGGTGACTCGGTGCATTATCACATTGGACATGAGGACCAGAGTTCCAAGAGCCACCATAAATGCTGGGTAGGAAAGGTGGCACATCTTTATTTCCAGGGGATCCTAGGAACAAGCAGGCTAGCTAGATGTGCATATTGGTGAACTCTGGGCTCAACTGAGGTCCTTGCTCAATGAATAAGGTGGAGAGTGGTGGAGGAAGACATCGAATCTCATCAAACTCCATGCTTTTACACAAACACACACCTCTGTGCTCACACACATGCATATACTCACATATACAGGCTTTCCACACACCACACACAGACACATACAGCAACAACAACACCACCACCGGGTGTGGTAGCCCACACCTGCAATCTCCAGCCAGCTGGAAGCCAGGATGAGGTAAACATAAACAGAGCAGGTGGCAGGGAGTGTTGTAGAGGCAGGCAGAGCCTCTAGGACGGGGTAGCGTGTCATGGGACCCTGCAGGAGGACGGGTATCACTAGGTGAACTTGACAGCTATTGGATGGAATTCTGATGATGGAGGTCACGTGGCTGGAGTCTTGGGGCAGTCTCCAGGGGTGAACCTATAGTGTGACTGCTGCAGGCAGCCCCTCAGTTGAGGCCGGCTGGCAGCCGATGACAGGGACAGCCTAGCAGCTGATATACTGCTCTGTAATTGTGATTAGCTACTCGGTCCCCTCCCTGCTCCACTGAGGCCACAGTGTGACAGCTGCAAAGTGGAGGGGAGAGGCCAGGAAGGGGTTAATGGGCTAGGCTTCCATCTGAGCCCTGTAGATGGTGGGGGAAGGGCAGGCCTGTGGTGGGGGGTGCGCCTCAGCTGGGCAGAGTGAATGAAGGGGACAGGGGCCTTGTCCCTGGGGGCGGTAGAGCCTTCACCCTGCTATCATTTTCCTCTATAGCACCATCCTTTCCCCTCCCCCCCCAGGGTAGTGGACCCCAGATGACCACCCTCCTGCTTCCAAGGTGGGCAGTGTTTCCAGCCTCTTGGCACTTAGGAGCGGCTAGTCGCAGAATGGTGGCATGTCACTGCTGTGGGCACACCCATTCTCCATTGTTAGGCTTTCCCTTGGTCACCAGCAGAGGAAGCAATGGCCCTCCAAGGGCTTGTTGGTGATACCGTAAACAGGGCCTGCGCTGGCTCTGCCACTTCCCAGTGGGAACCCTGGGGACGGGCCCTCAGCATGAGAACGGTACAGACTAGCCACAGTTCACACTTAGAGCACGTCTACCGCCCAGGAAAGTGCCCGTGGCCACTGCAGCCAACGTCTCTTTGATTCCCTGGTACCGAACGGTGAATAATGGGCACCCAAAGTTCTGATCCCTTCATTCTCCTAGTGGACTCTGTCTGGGAAATGGATCTCTGCAGATGTAATTAAGTTAAGGATGGCGTGAGGGGGGTCTAAGGGGACTTCTGTTGCCATCACAATGGCTCTGGTAGAAGAGAGGCAAACGCCCAGAGGCGCATGTGACCACAAAGGCAGATATTGAAAGAATGTGGTTTCAAGCTAGGGAAAGCCAAGAGCCACCCAAAGCTGATGAGGGTCTCTTCTAGAACCTTTGGACCACACTCTGGCATCCTCGCACTATGCGGTGAGATCTCCAGCAGTAATGATCTCCAAGAGCCAAAGTCTCAGACTGGCCAGAGAATGACACCTCCAGGATCCCCTGTGACGACAGAATGGTGGACACAGGAGAAAGTAGCAGCCCGCCCTGGATAAAGCAAGCACCTCCTCCCCGACCAGGTAACATGAGAAACGTAAGTGTAAGCGAGCCAGTACTGTAAGGTGGCTGAGGGTACTCAAAACTCCATGTTAGTCACCCTTTCCCTCTAGGCTGGGACAATGCAGCGAGAGCATCCAGGGGACCATGAGCATCCCTCCTCCCCCCCTGCCCCCCCCCCCGTTTCACCTCCGAGGCTTCTGAGAGAGATGAGAAAGGATGACTCCCAGGAGATGTGCAGAGCAAGGTCATGTAAGCCTAGGAGAGTGCATCTAAGGCTATTCAAGTCCTTGCTGAGGAGAGATGTCACAGCAACAGGAGAGATGTCACAGCAACAGGAGAGAGCGGCTTGCACACACCATGGGATATTGTTTGGTCTGAAATGGGAGGGAATTCTAACACCGGCTACATGTGGACAAGCCTTGAAGGCCCTCCACCCTGAAGACATACTAGCAAGGGAAAGAAGCTAATCTCAGGAAGACAACACTGCATAGTCTCTTGTGGGAGGCACCAACAGTGCAATCCAACATAGCAAGAAGATGGTGCTTGCCAGAGGCTGGCTGAGGTCCACTGTGCAGTTAGTGCCTAGAGGTTTGGTTTAGAAAGACAAGAAAGTTTGGGAGCTAGATGGTGACAGTTGAACAAGGCAAATTTACATAACCACA